GCATCCCATATAAACAATTATCCATATTCCACATATTTAATATTGGCCGTCAAAAATGATATGCTAATGCTGTAAGACATAGCCATCAGGCTTTTCCATTTTACGAGAATTTTTATTAAAAATGAACAACTAAAATAAAGTTAATTTCGAAATTTAGTTAAATTAATTTTAATTCAATACGATTGATTATACAGTTGTTTCCGTTAAAAAAGTGTATTTTTTCTTATCTTTTGAGCATCTCATATAAACAATTATCCATATTCCACATATACTTTTTTAGTTTTTTAGAACTCTATCCAGAATGTTTGTGATTAGAAGACATTTCCAAAATTTCGGAAAAAAAAACTTGTTGATTTATGACAAATACATCGATAAAAACAATTCTGTTGCTGATTTTACAAACACCATAGGCTTGTCACACAACCAGCGATGTTTCATTACAGTTTTAGTTTTTAGGATAGGTTGTTTTTCATGAAAAGAAGGAGGGAATGGTTCATATGCAACAACTTGCTCCACATAGCCTTCCTATCGATATTTCTTCAGTAATATAATTAATACAAAAAAATGCCCCCTGGACTATAAAATTATCCGCGCTGCACCGATCAATAAACAGAAAGTTTTAAAGAGGCAAGTGACTTTGTCGCGTTAAATATCCGGAGCCAGCCCTGATCAACTATAATGAAGCATCAATTTAATGAAATTAGCCAAGTCTAAGAAAACTCCGCAGAATTTTGATTAATTATCTTTGTTGAATAATCAAGTTGAACGAATGAAAAAGTTTTTGACTAAAACTTCTTTTCTGCTTTCATTCGAGCAGCGATTGGTCTATAAAATTGAATGAGACGCTTAGTTATGTATTCTTTTTGAGGACGGAGAAGTTTATTTCGAGTTTATATTTTTTTATGTAAATAAAGGCCGGCTTTAAAAAAGCCTTTTCGAATTACTTTTATTTTATCTCCGAGTTTCTGTTTTACGGGAGCGTATTTACTTACTTCGGCGATGCGAAGTGACTATAAAATTTTAATTTCATCAAATTGTGGCTTTGGCTTGTAATCTCGATGTTTATTTGAGTATTACGGATATTTCCGAAACCTACATTATTTAGTGGTGTCTCTCAAAACTCTAAATATAGCACACAAAAATTGATTTTTTTTTAATCTGCAAAAAAGCTATTTCCAATGACGCGATTGGAGAGCAATGAAATGCATAAGTAAGTGTAAGACAAAGTTCAGTTAATATTTACCACTGATTTAAAGCACAAAATGCGTTAGTCACATACAAAATTCGAAATTGCAAAAGAAATAACTAACAGTAGAGCAGAAGTGATGGTGGTCAGCAAACATCTTAAAGAGCAGTCTGGGATAGCGCGGTGTTCTTCAAGATGAAAAAAATTCTAAGTAGCCGGCACATCAACATTCAATTAAAATTAAGAGTTACAAATTCAAATATACACTGATGACACTGATGTACGGGGTGGAAAGCTGGACACTTACTGGGACTCTGTTAAAGAAACTTTTTTGAACCAACAACCCGATTTGGTCAAACTGATAAAAACCAGTAAACTAGAATATATTTCACATGTAACGACATCGGCAATTCCAATCTGTATAATATTCTACACTTCAGAACTTACGAGAATGGTTTCAAAAATAAAATACAGCATTATTCAGAGATGCTGCTAACAAATGGATAATACTATAAGGATTCAATTAAACTCCGAAGTCAATGTCTCAAAAATTATTAATATTATTATAAAAGCAATTTTTTTACAAAAATAAAATAACCAACATACAGTCCCAAAATGGAATGAGAACGAATCCGTTTGATTTTACTGAGAACTAATAAACTAAAACTAAACTAAAATTAAAAAATATCTAACACGGTAACACTGCAATTTACATTATTAAAAATTAATGACTGCTCAAAATTAAAAACGTCATTGCCACAATCAAAGATAGGACTCTTTTTGGCTTTGGTAATTTTTGATTTCTCCAGAAGATCGACAAATGGGCAAAAGATGAGTAGCGAAACAGACTTGTTCTGAGATCTTCCTGCCAAAGGGTCCGATAAAAATTGCATTACATTCCTCACAGTTCAAAGAATATACTCCTGATCTAGAAAAATAATCTGTTGGATAAATTGTTTGTTTTAAAAGCTATAGATAAGTTCCTGCTCTTGAACAATTTAGCTAGGTGGAACGAAATATTATACATTTCTTGGTAAAATTGTAAAATAATTTATTGTTGAATGCAATTTGTCTGACCGCAAATTTATAAGAATATGGTGAATTGGAGGAAAATTATATCACATCTCTTGTAAGCTATTAAATATGTCGAAAATTGACTATCCATGACTTTTCCCTCAAGATTGTTCATGAAAATTTTATTTTAAATAGGTGACAAGCACGAACCCATTGCGTCTTGTGGTTTGTCTAAAAAATTTATTATCAAACTTGAAAATATCGTTCTAACGCAGTCGTCAACAGAAGAACTAGATCACAACTTTTGGTAAAGTGGTACCACGCAATAAAGAACTCACTAAATCAATGCACTCAACATAGTCATAAAGTCATAATAGCCAATATGATTGCCAACGTTCAAGAAGGATGGTGGGTCTCAAAATATATCTCGTCTTGGTTGTTGACGGATCCTCCCCCAAAAATTAATTAGGACCAAATGTTGCTCGATAAACAAAACAACCAATAAAAGGAGTCATGTAGATGGCGATCATGTTTCTGATGATATCAGTGGATGTGTATCAATGTTTATTAGGCGGAAGATTTGTTACACAAGAAACTTTAAAAGAAAGCTGCCAACTTGCAAAAAGGACAAAGGATATTGTTATCTGGGAATTATTCAAGAAAAATACAAAATATTAACTTTATGGCAACCAGATTGTTAAAACTTTAGAGACACAGGAACTGGAGGTAGAGGAAGATGAAACCAAGATTGTTATTATCCGTGTCACTCCGAAACAAAACGTATTACAAAAGTACCTAATTGTACACACAAATTTAAAAATATGTGCTACAAAATGATATTAATGTTGAACTCATTCAAGGGTATATATATATATATATATATATATATATATATATATATATATATATATATATATATATATATATATATATATATATATATATATATATATATATATATGACAGTTTAGCTAAACAGGGGGGATAATGCTTTATGTCTTGGGCCATTATATATTGAACACCATAGAAGATTTGTAGCACCAAGCAAAATAAAATGCGATGGCAGAAAATGTTACTTCTATTTTAAGTCCGAGCGTAATAAATTTAAATAAAAACGTAGTTAATAATATACCTGTTGAAAGCTGGAAAAAAACGGGACAGTGCATTTTAAAAACTGAAGATTATTTTGTTTTTGTTTATGCTTATTAAAGTAAATATTTGGTAACTAGCTTGTATATATTTAGTGCTATCAAATTTTCAAATACATATAATAAACATGATATAATATTTAAACATTAAATTATTAAAACACGTTAACTGTCCATCTCTGATGCTCTGTCCTACAACGCCGACTGCTGATTGCAGTCGATAGGTTATGTCGATAATTGTTATGACCCATTGGGACCATTTGCCAGCAATTTACTTTTTTTATTGATAGTCCATCAGATTGATGTAAATCATTTATAAAAACATACGAGGATATATATGTACATGTCGATGCCGAATTAATATTATTTTTCACATCTGTTGGCTAGCATAGTGAACGACGGAACCAAAACAGTAAAAATATAATAGAAAATAACACATAATAGACAAAAAGAAAAAAATGTGAAAATCGTGTAAATAGTTGTATAAGTATAACAGAAGTACACCAAGACAACTAAAAAACAATGGAAAGGCAACTTCATGTCAACAACAATAAGAAAGAAGAATAAAAATGTCAATAACCAACACAAGTATATAAAGCCATAATACTAACGTCAAACTGTTATTTCGCCAATATTTTACTATAACATGAAATGGATCGAATAGAATTTTCCCAATTTTTTGTTGTTGTGGGTATGCAAGTCTTGAAACACTCCTCACTGGAAAAAATGAAAACATAGTTATTCAAAGAAAAGAAAACACATTTTGTTTTGTCCCATCACTGATTTGCTGGTGAGGTGTGATTAAAATAAACAAAGAAAATATATTTTTTCTACTCCCGTCTGTAAAATAACTAATTACACACCGATCTAGCGTGCGGGAAGCGTCACTTTACCATGTCAGTTTCGTTTCCCACGGGCCCGAGTCACTTCGGCCATTTCCGGGATTTTACCGCACGGATTTGGGAGCAATCGGATGTTTTCGGAGATATTTCCCACGCTTTGAATTTTGACTTTTGTCAATTTTGACGATCATGTCAGTGAATGTATTGTTGTTGTTTTGCGAAAATGTACCCAAAAACTAACGGTCGTAGAAAAAGTATAGTATTCAACACGTTCGGTAAATTTTTAAGTCTCTCGTTTATTAAAAACTCGCTCCGCTGCGCTCGGCTCGTGTCAAATAAACTCGTGAGTTAAATGACGTTTACCGAATTTGTTGCATAATATACTATTTTCTACTCCCGTTTGAAAAAATGCGGGAAGCGTCACTTTTCCACGTCAGAATCTTTTCCCATGGATCCGAGTCACTTCGGACACTTTGGGAGATATCGGATGTTTTCGGAGATATTTCCCTCGCCTTGAATTTTGACGTTTGTCAATTCTGACGGTCATGTCAGTGAATGTATTCTTGTTGTTTTGCGAAAATGTACCCAAAAACTAACGGTCGTAGAAAAAGTATAGTATGCAACACGTTCGGTAAACTTTTAAAGTCACTCGTTTATTAAACACTCGCTCCGCTCGTGTCAAATAAGCTCGTGAGTCAAATGCCGTTTACCGCACTTGTTGCATAATATACTATTTTTGTGGATCATACTAACCAAAAAATGTCTTGAACTGCCAACGTCAACATCAGAAATCTAAAATCACCAGTCAAAATTCCAAAATTCAAGAAATGCGCGATTCTAATTTAGTGACAACATATACATTTCACGGACAAGAATATTTATTTAGGATGAAAGCGCTACACAACAATCTGGAAATTCTGGTTACCGACAAACATTCGGGTGAAGAGTGGCAGTGTAGTTACGACGCGACGTACATTGAAAATCTAACTCACAAAACGGGTAATTTTAAGCAGTTCGATATTTTTATCGCCATGATTAAATCCGGTGTACTAAAAACAAGTGAAAGTGTAACTTTAGATCTGCTTACTTTTGAAGAACTCGAACTCTTGAGGTCTAGAAAGATTACGAGAACTCTGGGATCATTTAACAGTAACCGAAGATACTTAATTGTAACGTACATCGTGGAATTCGACAAGATTCGTTATCCGTTGCCATTAGAATACTGTGGGCCACCAGACCCGGTGATATTACAAACTACAATTCGTAGGTTAGAAGTGGAACTAGCCAAAACTAAAGAAGAATTAGCATTAAGGTCCAGCAACAATGAGTCTAAGAAAATATATTTTTTGCAAAAGCGAGTGGAACAATTAACTGAGGAAAACACCCAACTTAAAGAAGATATGGAGCAAATTTCTAGGCGCATTGAGAAAAAACATAAGCCCAACTATGCTACTTTACAAACCGCAGTGAATAATTTAGAGAGAAGCGTTGCGAAAGAAAGAAGTTCACACCACGAACTTGTTCAAAAATTGAAAAACGATAAAATTGAGCTGATGCAAGAGCTAGAGAAGTTGAAGGTGTCTGAAAGATCTCTGAAATCTATACTTAATAACAAGAACCAGCCATCGCAACCACCGTACGAATTTGGAGATAATTACCTTCCAATAAATGCCATTCGACCTGGTCCTTGCACAAAAACGTTATATAAAAACTCTCGTTCACCGACTGTCCGTGATTTCCATGGCTCTGGTGCGGTTCGTATCAGAAATAGATCTACAAGTGGAAATAGACCACGATCCCGATTAAGTAGAAGAACCATCGCCAGCCCTTGTAGTTCTACGAGCAGTAGTAAATATCACGATCCACACAAAGATCTAAGTATACACAGCAGATCAAATTCTCCACAAACACCAAAATGTAGCTCGGGTAATAGTTCTCGAGTCAGTTCTATAAATTCCGTTAGACGGAGAAAAAGTAGAAACAGACATTTCGAATATCAGAAATTGCAGGAAAAAATTGAAGACCTACAGAAAATTTTGAAAAGCAATATAGTTCGAACTAAATAAATAAATATTGGCAACGCGGTGCGTTGCTAGCCGGTTTGTTGTATTTTTAAGTTTTATTAAAAATAACATTAAAATAATTGTTTATGTATGTTTTGATTAAACATTGGGCATCTCATATATTGTGATCTTGCTTAGTACAAGGGGTTTAACTATCAAGTTTTTTGTAATTTTAGAAAAGAAAAATTCGAATTATTCTGAGTATTTTTAAATAGACACTTGATTGTAAAATCTAAATTTTTTTAATTTTTGTAACAGCATTTTGTACTGGATTCCTCCTGAGTCTGTTAGTGATAACTAAAAAAAATAAAGTAAAAAATAGTAGCTTGTATAAGTATCTTTATAAAATTAACATTTTGTACATTTCATTAGTGTTTTTCAAATTTGTATATGGTTTGAAAATATGGTTGATGAATTTGGTGTTCAGTGATATATTCTACATAACCTGTTTTTCATCTATGTCGCATTCAGAGTGTTACTTTAGTTTTCTGTTAAAGTATTCTACCAATAATATAATTCCCGCAAAAGGAACATCAGAAAAAAACAACAAAAACTAGAAATTACTTATTTAATTTACACACTACAAATAGGTATATTGACAAAAAATTATCTTAAAATTAATTTCCTAATTTTATGAAATTACCAAAAACCATGACAATTTCACGTTGAAAGTTCATTAAAAATTTAAAAAATAATTATTTTCTTTTTTTACTTTTTTACTTTGCTATCTAATAATATCTGACGGAAAAGCATTTGAAAAAGAGAGCTAAGGAAATTTGATACACAACAGCGCTCAAAATGGAGAGACGGCATACAGTGTTGAAAAAGCTTATTAACCTTATGAACATCAATTTCCTTACGCGAAAGAAATGTATCTAAATAAGCGAAACCTGCTTTTTGTCTATAAAATAAAGTAAGATGTTTTCCTTTGCAGTAATTTGGTTAGCTTTGCTTATATCAACAATACAGAACTAAAGCAAATCAGGGTCGACAAATCGGTAATTATGTCAACCATTTTCTTACTTATCTGCGACATATGTGCTATATCATTTTAACCAAATTATAAATTTTTTTAATTTTCAGTAATTATTTATTTTGAAACGTTAACGTGTATCTTTTTATTACCTGAGTTTAAATTTGTTATACATTTTAAGGTTATTAGGCCAAATTTAGTGGGTTTAACACATGTGAACATCAATTTTCATACGCGAAAGAAATATATCAAAATACAAGAAACCTCTGCTCTTTGTATACTAAAGATGGTAAGACCTTTTTCTGCGCAGTGTTTTGGTTATATCAATAAGCGTTTACACAAATGATAAAGCATTCTATCGAAATCAACAATACAGAAATTTAAAACAAATCAGAGTCGACAAAAAAACAAAATTATATAATGTTTTAATTTTTAGTAATAATTAATTTTAAAATGTGAAAAAACAGTGTTTTTTGTTTATTTGTAGTTTAAATTTGTTATACATTTTAAGATCATTACGCATAACATTCAAAATTCATGAGGTAGTACATTTAACACATGTGAACATCAGTTCACAAACTTCTCTTTGCATATAAAATTTGGTAAGGTCTTTTTCTGCGCAGTGTTTTGGTTAGTTTTGGTTATATCAATAGGCGTTTACATAAACGATAAAGCTTTCTATCGAAATCAACAATACAACAAATATACAGCAAGTCAGAGTCGACAAATTCGTAGCTATATCGATCATTTTCTTACTTATCCGCGATTTATGTGCCATATATATTAAAAAAAATATATGTATTTTTTTAATTTTCATTATTTATTATTAAAAAGTGTAAAAAGACTTTTGTTTTATTTCCTGAGGTTAAATTTGTTATATATTTCAAGGTTATTAGGCCTAATATTCAAAATTCATGGAGTTGTAACATTTAATACATGTGAACATCAATTTTCATACTCGAAAGAAATATATCAAAATACGTTAAATCTCTGTTCTTTGTTGGTTTTTACAAACCATAAAGCTTTCTATCGAATTAAACAATACAGCAAATATAAAGCAAATCAGAGTCGACTAAAGAGTAACTATATCTATCACTTTCTTACTTATCTGCAACCTATGTGCTATATAATTTTATTAAAATTAATAAATTTTTCAATTTTTAGAAATTATTAATTTCAAAATGTTAAATTGTAAAAAAAAACTTTAAATTTCTTACACATTTTAGGCTTATTAGGCCTAACATTAAAAATTCATGGGGTTGTAACATATACACGTGTGAACATCAACTTTCATATTCGAAAGAAATATATCAAAATATGTGAAATCTCTGTTTTTTGTCCATAAATGAGAGTAGGATATTTTTCTGTGCAGTTTTTTGGTTATATCAATAAGCGTTTACACAAACGAAAAGGCTGTCTATCGAAATCAACAAAACAGAAATATAAAGCAAATCAGAACCAATTAATATTATATTTTGTAGAATATATGAAATGTTTAATGTTAATTTTACACGAAAATTACAGAAAACCCGATAATGTCTAGAGTTTTCGAAACAAGCGACTTAATCAAACAAATGCATTTTAATCTAACGCATCGATCCTCGCGCTATATTTAAACTTTATCTATCTGAGGGCACGTTCCTGAATGCATGATCGTTCCCCGATGGAGAGGGAGTTTCCAATTCTTAGTCGTCCAAAACAGTAGGGACTACTCCAACTTCCCTATGCCTCTCGTTTATGCGTTTGTTATTCAGCAAATGATGTCGGTAACGATGTTTGATGTTTGGTCAATTCGTTTATGGCGTTTTCGTCGACGAGTTGTTTGTTGTTATTGCGATGCTTTGCGCGCAAATCTAACGCTACGATGAAGCCAATCAAGCTCCACTGTCTGAGGCGAAGGAAACGAGACCCAAATTTTTATGACGCCGCTTTTTGCGGTTTGCGACCTCAAAGTAATAGTCCGGGAGGACAAACGTTTGTTTCGGGATTTTGCAACAACATGCAGCAATAATAATTCAACAAGAATAAATTCAACGATATCAGTTTTGTAGGTCCTTAGAAAGTCCAATAAGTGCTCAACAAACCAATGAAAACCGCATCTCAATATCCTTATCCAAACACAACCAGAGCTTAAGGCACTCTCTAAACATAGGAGCGTCTTTCAACAAAAAAGGAAGGTTGATTTTCTATGTTACGAGGGCAGCGTCAACATTTCTCGGCCTGTATATGAAAGATACAAAGTAGAGTAACAATTTTTCAATATAATCCTCCTTAACTTCAATACACTTATTACATCTCTTGATTAGCAACTCAATCCCTTTAAAAAAAATATTCTTTTGGTTTGTCTGCAAAATGACCTAAAACAGCCTCTTTAACTCAACTTCGTAGTTAAATCGCCGTCCACGTAAGACCTTTTTCAAATATCCAAACAAATAATAGCCGCTGAACTATAGGGAGGATGATCTATCTGTTGGAACCCACACTCTAAAATGGCAGCTTGTGCAAGACCAACAGTATGGAGTATTATCGTGCAAAAGGCGCACGCCTCTGGTCAATTTTCCTCGACGTTTTACACGTATGCAATCTCCCAATTTATGTATTAATGTTGGGTAATATTTACCATTGAAAGTGGTATTAGGTTCGTTAAAATCTATCAAAAGAATTCCTTCATAATCCAAAAAGATCGTGGCCATCGCCTTTTTTGTTGACTGGCAGACTTTAAATTTTCTTGAAGGTCCTCCACCCGTACGACCCCACTCTATTGATTCTTTTTTCGATAGAGGGTCATAATTGCGAACCATAGTTTCATCTCCCGTCACAATAGTTTCTATCACAGGCTTCGATTCGGAACCACAGCGTTCCAGAAAAGACCGCGCCCACTCGACACGGCGTTGTTTGCACTAACCTTATGCATACCTAAATGATCATGCAGGATTCGACGAACACTTGTATCAAAAAGCTTAGTAATTTCTGAGATTTCCTTGGCCATTAAACGTCGATCACCCAATACCATCTCTTCCACAATCGCAACAATATCTTCCGTTATGACCTCTACTGGTCGACCAGTTCTTGAATCATCTTCAAGGGACTCCTGCCCCATTCGAAAACGCCTTTCTTTAATAATTTTAGGTGCTAACCCTTCTTTTTTCAAAAAGTTTATGACTGTTCTATACTAAATTTGCGTTATTTGCGACATTATTTCGGACACGTCTTCATCACGTCAAGATATATATTTAAAAGAAGACAAAGTTTTATCGTGATACTATGTCAGACCGGGAAATTTTGGCGCTAACCTCGTACTTAAAAAAGGGATATAAATGGCCAATGCATCAATATTCATAAACTTCTTTTTAATTAAAACTTTTAATTTAAATGATTTTAAAAAGACCAGATATCTTCTTAACTTCTAATCTAAATCTGACATCGAAATGAAATGTGTGTGGGCAATAACCAAAGAAATCACATGAAAAACCAAAAATAACGATATTCGAATGGAGGTAAATTCTGAAAAGATAGCAATGTATATAATAAACATGGCAAATATTATCGAACATGTAGAACAATCCATATCATTGTAATATAATACCCAACAACCACTCAATGTATTTAAAACCCGTCACATAGGCAAAAAAATCTAATAGATCCTAGAAATTTTCGTGTTTCTGGGTGAATTATTGGAGATAAATGAAAAACGTTTAAAGATGTGATAATTTGATGTGAACAGTATCGTAAACTGTATCGAGGGAGAGTTTAAGGTTACGTTTATAATACAGGAGGCGCGAGATATTTGAAAAAATATAATTTTAAATTGCAATTACCAGTACAAATTTTAATATTTATTGAAGTTTGGAGTAACTTTGAAGTTCGACGAGATGTGAAGGACGCTTTATACAGGGTGTATTCACAATCAAATTACATCGATTTTGCTAAAGTTCCATAGTGGTCCGCAGGAGCACAATAGAAGAACAAAGCCCTCTAGGACAAGAAAGCGACAAGAAATAAAATGCTGATTCGCGCTACTTGCGACGAACTTGCCCTGCCCAGCGACGATTTTTTGAAAGCAATCTTGTTATATTAGGTATATAAACGACAATTTAGTCGAGAAATTGTTTT